TCTCGAATTATGATATCAAATAGCTGTATCATTTAAATATCATTTAAAATTTTAACAGTAAAGAAAAGTTTTCCTCAGCAATATAATTCAAATAACACGTTGTCGATAATGTAAAAACAAAATATGACAGAATGTAGGAACTCATACAAGAGAATGTATGATCTCTTGTATATATAAATATAAAAAATATACTTAAACTAAATTTATTTCAAACATCTATACATTGGGGTTTTGGGTATAATTTTCTAATAATAATGTAATACTTAATTACCAGTCTCTGCACATTATTAAATTGAAGAATTTTTAAAACATAATTGTTTACCACAAGATACGAGCTTACTTTATTTCTCAACTAACATCATATTATATTCTTTGATTAATGTAAATAAAATGAAATATTTAACAAAAGTATATGTAACTGTATATATTATTTAAGCATTGCAATCAATTGCCTATAAATTATGTCGTTTAGATAAGGTTGGGAAGCATAGGGTTTACTGTCGTACTACAGTTGACTTTGATGGTGTCGACGCTGGATGCAGGTCGCCCTAAACTCAATTGTTGGTTCATCCTTGACGCCGAGCTGACGTCAGGACGCCTCCTCCGAATGCGAGCCTCTGGATCAATTTTTGTCTTGTAATTTGGATTTGATACTGCCGTTTGGCATCCCTATTCCACGGTCCGGTTGTACGACCACCGGCGCACATATCGCCTTGGATCACGGGATTGTTGGCAGATTTTTTTTTACGTGGTCTGGCTGGTTCTCCCGGCGGGGTCACGGTGTCCGGCGCCGGCTTAGCTGAGAGGTGCCGGGAGTTGGCGGGTCTTGGTGGGCTCCTGGTGTGCCCTCAGCCGTGGTGGGCGGCTGGCTCCTGCCTTGCCGGAGGGCACTGGATGACTTTTACGTCTTAATTGGGAGACGAGTATTTAGTTTTGCCACCCTGTGTTCTCTATGTGGGGCGGGGCCGGTGCTTGTCCCCTGAGGGCTCTGGGGCTCCCCAATCATCTGCTATTCGGCTTTGCGATTAACCCTTCACAGGTACGCCGGGGCGCATCCGGTCCCACGATCGTCGTCGCCCCTAAATCAACAACAACAACCCAGTTGTTGTCAAAATCTCCAACTTCGTAAGAAATTGTTTTTGCTCGCTATATATAAATGATCTGCAAATGTGTAATATCAAATACTTATTATTAAGCTAACATCCAGTGATTTTAATTACTGAATATTATATATGACGATGGTTTCTCTATGTAAATTTTATCGACTCCTAGCAGTTGATTAATTTTACCCATGAAGGCTAGTTTATTGGGCAGCGTCACTCATCCTATGAGTGAAAATAGCGCCATTGTGACAGTATTGGGCAGCGTCACTCATCCTATGAGTGAAAAAAGCGTCATTGTAAGAGTATTGGGCAGCGTCACTCATCCTGTGAGTGAACATACCGCCACAGTGACAGTATTGGGCAGCGTCACTCATCCTGTGAGTGAACATACCGCCACAGTGACAGTATTGGGGAGCGTCACTCATCCTGTGAGTGAACATACCGCCAGTGACAGTATTGGGGAGCGTCACTCATCCTGTGAGTGAACACACCGCCACAGTGTATTATAGATTGTGTGTTGGTGGTGTTGTCGTCGTTGATCCTTCTCTACGGACAACCCAACCCACAACTCGGTAGAGGGCTTATACCTCACTAGGAGATCACCCTTGGCGCTTCTGGCTCTTGGAGAGGGGCTCAACGTCACACGTTTAGGGGATGCGGCTCCAATACTTAGCCTCGTTGTCACGTGCACACACCCACTCGAGCCACTGTGACTCCCCACTCTCTCTTTAGGTGATATGATCCCCTCAATCCCCCTTTGACTTATTAGTATTACCTTCTACCCTGTCCACAGCAGTGGTTCTTGGTTCTTTCTCTCTCTCTCTCCTTCTGTACTATTTCATGGGAAGCCTCACTAGGACAAGGTCAAATACCAGCAAATTTGAATACATTTACTGGACAGAGCACATACACAATACATATACACATATAATAATAATGACTCCTATACTCTATACTATTACAATCAGGGTGCACTCCAACACCATCAGAACTCTATTATCAGTTTATCAAGTGGTATCCTATCTTCTGATTCCCCACCTGATACTATCAACCTCCTCAACTAGATCAAGTCTTATACTACAATGTTGCACTATCAGCAAGAGAATATATCTATAAACATGTACAAGGAAAATCAGCATGTGAATGCAATAACATATATCAGTATAAATGTTCCTTGATACACAACAATGATCAATCGATCACCCTATTAGTCCTAGAACACATACATCTGTAGGTAATCCAGCCTACGACTGTAACTCTAAACTTCAGTATAAAACACTCCTTATCTTGAGGTTATCTTGAGATGATTTCGGGGCTTTTTTTTTTTAGTGTCCCCGTGGCCCGGTCCTCGACCAGGCCTCCTCCCCCAGGAAGCAGCCCGTGACAGCTGACTAACACCCAGGTACCTATTTACTGCTAGGTAACATGCAGTAAACATAGGGTGAAAGAAACTCTGCCCATTGTTTCTCGTCGGCGCCTGGGATCGAACCCACCTCTCACTGCGTCTTGCACGCTAATGACAACCAAACACTATCAACTCCCAACAAGTAATCCACCAGAACTTCCCTTCCACCTCTGGAAGTTCACTACCCTGATATCTTTAGGTTCTACCGGGCTTCACTACCAGGATCCTCTGCAGCTCCTCCAGGCTGCTACCATGAAGTTTCCTTGAGCAACTACGGTGCTTCACCCTTCTGCTAGGGTCCTCCACAGATCTCTGGGCTGCTACACCATGAAGTTCCCTCGAGCAACTATGGTGCTTCACCACCTCTACAGAAGCACGTGACACTCCTCTTCACTGCTTCTCCTCACAGCTCAAAATCCTCTGCTCCACTACCTTGGAGTCTCATCAATTACTTCATCTGTGCTGGCTTCGAAGTTCTCAGCAACTTCTTCCCCAAAGACAAACCTGCAACCCATCGACACTCCAATAAAAATGTTTTCCCTTTAACACATAAACAAAAATAATCACACAATATGTTTGCCTTCAAACCTCTATCTGTCCTCTACATACTGTGAGAGTGGACTCCCCCGTTGGGCGGGTCCATGCTCCACCTTGCCCAGTGGGCATCACTCACTCCGGGAGGGGCCTTCGCCGTCGGGAGCTCTCAGTCACCTGCCAGCGCTCAGAGGGGGACGGACGTCGCTCCGTGTTCCTCCCTCTCCACTCTCTTATTTTAGGCTTTCTGCCTTATCAAAACATGTCTAACTTATCAATAAACATTGCTACTGTCGCTGGGCACACGACCAACTACAAGCAATCACTATGAACTGGCGTATATCGTGCTTACCACAGATTATCTGGTCGAGGGCGCTCCTCCCTCTGACGAAGCCTGGCCAGGGCGATTCCACAGCCCACGAAAATGTCTCTGGGCGGCTTAATACTCTCCTCGTCGACCACGACTTGAGACCACAACGTTCCCAGCTCGATTCTACAGCTGGCACGTCTACACACTACTCTTCTCTTGGAGATTAGGGGTGAACACTAGGGGTTCTTTTCTGGCGGGAGCTCAAACGGAGCGCGGCTTTCCCCCTGCGATGTCTGGCCTCAAGTGAGGTCAAAGCCCTCCAGAAGCGAGCCTCACGCCTCCAGCAAAATGTCCACATCTCCTAGCCAGTCATTTATCTGTTTTCTTCTTCACTGCCCATAATCTTAAATTGTTCATCATCTCCGACCAGCTATTTTACATCTGTGTTATCACCTCTATATTTCTTAGACCTTCTGGTTAGGTCAGGCTTGCTGAATAACTCTCAAAGGGGAGACTCGTTTCTCCTACAGGCTGAGATCATAACAAGTGACAGTATTGGGCAGCGTCACTCATCCTGTGAGTGAACATACCGCCACAGTGACAGTACTGGGCAGCGTCACTCATCATGTGAGTGAACATACCGCCACAGTGACAGTATTGGGCAGCGTCACTCATCCTGTGAGTGAGCATACCGCCACAGTAACAGTATTGGGCAGCGTCACTCATCCTGTGAGTGAGCATACCGCCACAGTGACAGTAATGTCCAGGGCTACTCATCCTGTGAGTGAACATACCGCCACAGTGACAGTATTGTCCAGGGCTACTCATCCTGTGAGTGAGCATACCGCCAAAGCAGCATGTATATCAACCCCCAATTGGAAAAAAACTAGCTGAGGGGTTCATCCTGTCAGTTATGCCCAGATGCAGTTGGTACTTGCCTAACTGTCTCAATTAAACAGACTATGCTGCTGTATTCTAGTCTTGACATTTTGAATACCCTGCCGTTCCCCTAGTGTAAGTAATGCCTCCCTGTATACCTACTTGTCCACTACAACCCGGATTGTCTGGCACTTCATGCTGGAAACAAATTTTTTCGTGAAATTCAATAGTTCTCTTTTATTGCAGCAATATTTTTTATACTTGCAGGGAGGATATTGTACAACTGTGGACCTCTGATGTTCATCCAGTTTTTGCTGATTGTGCCTGTGGCGCCTCTACTCTTTACTGGCTCTATTCTGCATTTACAAAGTTTAAAAATTAAACGTTTTCTAAACCTTTAAGTAGGAATAGGACGACACTAAAATTTCTAGCTATTCCGATAACGAAGCTGATTCCATTATAATGACCCCCGTCATGACCCACCATAAGGCTCGTAGTATAGACTTCTCCCTGACTCAATAGTTGGCATTCTTTGCCTCAAGTATATCACAACTTTATAGGGTCTTGGGATATATTGTCAGTCTACAATTAAAACCACCATTTAACTGGGGTGAACTTATCTTACATAACAGCTACTTACAAATATACACCTCAACAAAGTTATTAATAATATAATAATGTTGACCTCCCAAGCACTAGTCATTGCAGCTAGATATTACTAAGTTACCCAGGTGACAAAACTTAGCAGCATGGGTACACTTGACAACACATGAAGTGCATTTATGTTGTGGGCAAAGTGGATATATGGTATGTTAAATCAAAGGCAAAGTCACTGTTACGGCCTCATTTAGCCAGTAACCAGGTTCTCTATTTATCACACTGTATATGGGGCCTTAATGCCCTCTTCTTATCTGATCCCACCCCGAGTCATAGGTAAGTTATTAAGAACTGGCAGTAATAATCAATCTAATGGAAAAGGGGTAAACACCACTAAACAGAACCATCACCAAGTGGACTTCTCAACTATTTATACACATATATACATGACATAACACTGCAGGTGTCACTTTCCCACAGGACACTATAAAACGTCTGCAATCTTCTTTCCAGCTCGGCGAGTCCACTTCTATCTATCTCCTGAGTCTGTCTTCTATGGTCCTCACTCCGGCGAGTTCACCTTTCTCAGTATATCATGAGCCAGTCCTATACAGTATGGTCACGGTGCCCAAAACACCACTTATATTCTCCAGCAACACACTGGCAGAGGTCTCCAGCAACACACTGGCAGAGGTCTCCAGCAACACACTGGCAGAGGTCTCCAGCAACACACTGGCAGAGGTCTCCAGCAACACACTGGCAGAGGTCTCCAGCAACACACTGGCAGAGGTCTCCAGCAACACACTGGCAGAGGTCTCCAGCAACACACTGGCAGGGTCTCCAGCAACACACTGGCAGGGGTCTACAGCAACACACTGGCAGAGGTCTCCAGCAACACACTGGCAGGGGTCTACAGCAACACACTGGCAGAGGTCTCCAGCAACACACTGGCAGGGGTCTCCAGCAACACACTGGCAGAGGTCTCCAGCAACACACTGGCAGAGGTCTACAGCAACACACTGGCAGAGGTCTCCAGCAACACACTGGCAGAGGTCTCCAGCAACACACTGGCAGAGGTCTTCAGCAACACACTGGCAGGGGTCTTCAGCAACACACTGGCAGGGGTCTCCAGCAACACACTGGCAGAGGTCTACAGCAACACACTGGCAGAGGTCTACAGCAACACACTGGCAGAGGTCTCCAGCAACACACTGGCAGGGTCTCCAGCAACACACTGGCAGAGGTCTCCAGCAACACACTGGCAGGGGTCTCCAGCAACACACTGACAGAGGTCTCCAGCAACACACTGGCAGGGGTCTCCAGCAACACACTGGCAGAGGTCTCCAGCAACACACTGGCAGAGGTCTCCAGCAACACACTGGCAGAGGTCTCCAGCAACACACTGGCAGAGGTCTCCAGCAACACACTGGCAGGGGTCTCCAGCAACACACTGGCAGAGGTCTCCAGCAACACGCTGGCAGAGGTCTCCAGCAACACACTGGCAGAGGTCTCCAGCAACACACTGGCAGAGGTCTCCAGCAACACACTGGCAGAGGTCTACAGCAACACACTGGCAGTTGGTAGACCTGACGGTCTCCAGCAACACACTGGCAGGGGTCTCCAGCAACACACTGGCAGAGGTCTCCAGCAACACACTGGCAGGAGTCTCCAGCAACACACTGGCAGAGGTCTCCAGCAACACACTGGCAGGGGTCTCCAGCAACACACTGGCAGAGGTCTCCAGCAACACACTGGCAGAGGTCTCCAGCAACACACTGGCAGGGGTCTCCAGCAACACACTGGCAGAGGTCTCCAGCAACACACTGGCAGAGGTCTCCAGCAACACACTGGCAGAGGTCTCCAGCAACACACTGGCAGAGGTCTCCAGCAACACACTGGCAGGGGTCTCCAGCAACACACTGGCAGGGGTCTCCAGCAACACACTGGCAGGGGTCTCCAGCAACACACTGGCAGAGGTCTCCAGCAACACACTGGCAGAGGTCTCCAGCAACACACTGGCAGAGGTCTCCAGCAACACACTGGCAGGGGTCTCCAGCAACACACTGGCAGAGGTCTCCAGCAACACACTGGCAGGGGTCTCCAGCAACACACTGGCAGAGGTCTACGGCAACACACTGGCAGAGGTCTCCAGCAACACACTGGCAGAGGTCTACAGCAACACACTGGCAGAGGTCTACAGCAACACACTGGCAGAGGTCTCCAGCAACACACTGGCAAAGGTCTACAGCAACACACTGGCAGAGGTCTCCAGCAACACACTGGCAGGGGTCTCCAGCAACACACTGGCAGGGGTCTCCAGCAACACACTGGCAGGGGTCTCCAGCAACACACTGGCAGAGGTCTCCAGCAACACACTGGCAGAGGTCTCCAGCAACACACTGGCAGGGGTCTCCAGCAACACACTGGCAGGCTTCCACACAGGCTTATAACAAGCCTTAATAGACAGACATTGATTCCATCTCGTAACTCAACTTCGCCATCCCAGGATACGTCGGTCCAATCACTAATACTTCGCTAAGTATCACAGACAAATCATTGTGATACTTAGCCAACTCGACCACTAGTTTCTACTGGAACACGTCTTGAGTTCAGGACGGCCCTGGGTGAACTGATTCCTGTCGACCAAGTTACCACCCACATCACTTCTACTGCGGACTAAAATGTGATTAGTAAGAAAGAAACTACACAGGGGGTCAATAAGATCACAGCCTTCCACCGCAGAACAGAAAATGGGGTCGGGTGTACTTGTAACGTATCGGAAATTGAAAGAAGTAAAGAAAGGAAGAAAACTCATAGGGTGTGAGAGGTGGAAGGGAGTAGTGAAGAACTTCAGTGGGAAAGGGAAAGTTTTGAAGGAGAAAGAGAAAATGAGATCAAGGAGGAAACGTAGAAGAGTAGACAGTAAGAGTGCTAGAATAGTAGAAAGATAGAAGGTTGCTGACACCATCCATTCAAGTTAATTATATATAAGACAAGGAATGGAACTTATATATAAGACAATGGAATGCACAACAATATGATGTGATGTTAACATGCATCACTTGTAAGCATGTACAACTCATATAACCAAAAATCTTTAAGTCAAAATCTTAAGCCAGTAAACTTCAGAGAGCTCTCCACTCTAGCTTTCCCTATACAAGATCTAGGGATCACAATTAAAAACAATTTAAATAGTAAGTTAATCATTTATATATTTAATATTATGAGTATCATAATTCAACCATTTCAATTGATGTTCAAACGGTTACAAAAATACACAAATTTTGAGTCACCACACAATAAATTGAGATTTAACGGCTGACTGTCAATTGACGAGATTGCTGACGGCTGACTGAGATTTGATGATTTGATGGCTGACTACGGATGACTGCCCCTGGAAATCACACAACACCTAAGTTGGAAAACACAGTATATGGCAACCTTACAGTTCACTCACCAAAGTCTCTGAGACCACGTTAAGTAGAGAAGGAGGTGGTACGACTGATAGACAGAGTCCCCCACCTGGCCTGGGACGGCCTAGTCTGGCTTCTGGAACCTCTCTCTATGGAGTAGCCGTCTAGGACGGCTGTCACTGTCCTCCTCAATGTCTCAGCTGTACAGTTCCACGGGTATATATAGGAGAACTGGGAGCTAAGCTCTGCCTACCAGGAGATAGCCTCTGTCTATCTACCTACCATACATAGACAGCGGCTTGTTTGAGGGAAACACACTACCAACCGGCTGCAATTATCAGCTTAGCAGAAAGTAAGATCGCTTCACACGACCTGACCTCCTATTCAACCTGTGAACATTAAGTCTTGAAAGGTGTGACTTTATAATTGGTAAGGACCGACACCCCGGCGCCTCCAATATCCTGTATGACTTTGACTCGTTGTATGTCAAATCTATATAAATAAAAATGGAAATGATCGTTTGTTTATAATCGATAATCTCCGAAAGTTCTTCAGTGATGGCTTTGAAATTTTCACACAACGTTCCATTCGCATCAGAGCGGATTTTTATATACATATTATATAGATGTCATGTCTGTGATGGGAATTTTGCTTTTTGTTTTAAACTGTGCTTTCATGTGAGGGAAATCTTTGAAACCTCTTTACCGATTGCTTTGAAATTTTGAAACAATGTTGCATTCGAATAGGCGCGTCTTTTTATAAACCTACTATATACATGCCTCACCTGTGACAGGACAAAACATGTTTTTTTTTTAAACAGCGCCATCTGTTGGACGTAAGAGCAACACACGCTGTAATCTACAAAAGTTCTTCATTGATTGCTTTGAAATTTTGACACAACATTCCATTCGAATACACACATGTTTTTATATACCTACTATATAGATGCCACCCCTGTGACAGGTAAAAACATGCGTTTTTGTAACACAGTGCCATCTGTTGCACACAAGACCAACACACGCTATATTATATATGTTACGATTCCATTTCAATGTTTCCAATTTCATTGATAAATTGAATTTTCATAAACTTCAATTTATTTTCATTTTGATTTAATTATTTTGTGTGACATTAAGTTGGAATTGAGCTGTGTTGTTTACCATACCGTTCATTTCGTGAGTATAGTGCATTTGGTGTTTTTCATTGTTTTTCATTTCGTTTTTTAAACTGATTTTTTTTTTTTTATATATCAGTGATGGGAACATCTGGGGCCAGATTAACGAAGCAGTTACGCAAGTACTTACGAACGTGTACATCTTTCCTCAATCTTTGATGGCTTTGGTTTCATTTATTAAACAGTTTACTAGCATGACAACTTGCCAATCAACTGTTGTTATAAACAGCCTCCGGGTGCTTCAGAGTTCATTAACTGTTTAATAATTGCAAACAGAGGCACCGAAGATTGTGAGAAGATGTACAGGTTCGTAAGTGTTTATGTAACTTCTTCGTGAATCTAGCCCCAGAACATTTGATGTTCACAATTTTTTGATGGGAACATCAGATCATTTGATCATCAGATGGGGAGTGGGGAATGGTTGGAAGGACGAGGGGATGTATGTGGAATATGGTGGGGGGGAAGCAAGGGGACAGGGGAGGGGCAAATGGTGGGGTAGGACGAGGGGACAGGGGAGTTGGGGATGGTAGGGACGAGGGGAAAGGGGAATGAAGAATGGTGAGGAGGACAAGGGGACAAGGGAGTGGGGGATAGTGGGGAGGACGAGGGGCCGAGGGAGGGGGAGGAATGAGAGCGAGGACACGGGGACAGGGGAGTGGGAGATAGTGGGGAGGACGAGGGGATTTGGAGTGGGGAATGGTTTGGAGGGCGAGGGGATGCTTGAGTGGGGGATGGTGGGGAGGAAAGAGGGACGAGGGAGTGAGAAATGGTTGTGAGGACGAGGGAACGAAGGAGGGGTTTAGGGAATGGTGGAGAGGACTGAGAGAGAGGGAAAGATTGCTGTGGCTCAGCAATGCAGCCACAACTAGGAGTTGTGCCCTGGGAGCCCTGAGTAGGGGCAGACTCCCAGTTGTGCCCTGGGAGCCCTGAGTAGGGGCAGACTCCCAGTTGTGCCCTGGGAGTCACAGTGAGATCCTTTTAATTATTAGTACTGTTTAAAGGGACAGAATAACGAAGGACAGTTGGGATATCTCGCTAAGAAGAGATAAGAGTTCTACTACTTCGTTCATTGTCCCACACTGGTGCTAAGACCCCAGTCCCTTATCGCCCCAGCCTGGACACCCAACCATCCACTCAGGGCGGCCTCTCACAGGCGACCCCTCCAGCGGGTGGTCTGATGGCTCACAGGGCCCCTACATGGTGCCCTTCAGCACGTACACCACCCAAAGAGGGGGCTCAGGCAACTCACACCAGTCCCAGGGAGGTGTACGTGAGCCCCTCACCACGGCAAGGAGGCACCACGGAGAGGTGTTTGTGTTATTAGTGTAAGAATATATTGGCTGTTGATAGGTAAGGTGCTAGGCTGTATTACGTATATGTTTCATTCCCTGATTTTAACAGAACCAGTCTTCAGTCATAGAACTGAATTTATTAAATCTTATCCTTGTATAAAATACAAGTTAATGTGAGATACCTGTCTGCAGGTGGACTGAAACTTCAATCAACTAATTTATTCACCCCACCTGCCCCTTACAGCCCACAATCTGTCATTAGGAAAAGAGGAGCTAGGATTTACGAGACTAGCTAGAGACTTTAGTTGAATTAATTTGCAGACAGTAATATTTAATTTAGTTCAGTACAAGTCCCTGGTAGTTCTCCTCTCATATCAATCCCAGCAGGTTTCTCCCACAATCCGTACGGCTTTAAAGCTCTCAAAGACTACATGACAGTCCTTGGTCCACATGAACTTTGTTCCCTTCTTCTGGAGGGTTGTCGAAGGCACTGCCATAATCACTGCCTTTGTGAATGTACATTAATGACACTATGTAAAAGACACATCTAACACTTTAGGTAGGGCATACGTAAATCTGTGTATCTATGTATTTACGTATGTAGGTTAGCTTAGCATTTTAAAAGTACCGAATCACCTTCTGTGGCTGAGTGTTCAATAAACCCTTGAACTATATGTTTAACACTTCTCTAACCCTGTCCATGGAGGACAGAAGAAAATGTATATATGCTGGTTAGCATTGTAAATGTGTGGCCACGTCTGTGGTAGAAAATAATAATAAAAAAAAAAAAAAAAAAAAAACTGCCATAGTCGAGACGTTAGGAACAAACTTTCGGTAGAATCCGGCAATACCCAGGAAACACAGGACCTCCTTATGTGTGGAAGGGGTTGGGCACTGAACTTAGGGGCGATCCCTCCTCCACCAACCAAATGTCCTACAAAGATAACAGAAGTCTTAACAAATTCCGATTAATACTATTTATTTATTTTATTATTTATTTATTTATTTATATATATACAAGAAGATACATTGGGATTGTGAGGATACATAGTATAGTAATTACAATCTTGTAAAGCCACTAGTACGCACAGCTGCCCTGCTCGGTTGATAGGCAATACAGATTGCCTACCAACAGAGCTTGTCGAATAGCCAAAAAATAATGCTTCCATATGTCGTAAATGGTCTTCCTAGTTTGAGTTGCAGATCATCACATCATGTATGTAGACCATTGCATTCTCTACGTAGCGTAGTACAATAGTCATCAATCGCTGAAATGAAGAGGCAGCATTTATCATTCCAAATTTATCATTCCACTTGACACCCAAAAAGACTACCAGGAGCCACAAAGGCAAAGGGTTTGGCACGCACTGTCAGAGGTACCTGCCAATAGCCCTTGAAGAGGTCGAAGTTAGTGAGGTAGGAGGCCTTACCGACGGTATCACTACACTCTTCCATCCTGGGAAGGATATATGTATCAGCTACTGTAACCGTGTTAACTTACTGGTAATGTATGCATAACCTATGATCATTACCAGGCTTGTGGACCAGCAGCATGAGGGACAACCACTGACTAATACTAATATCCTATGGCACCTCCCCTAGTGTGACCCACTATGGCACCTCCCCGAGTGTGACCCATTATGGCACCTCCCCCAGTGTGGCCCACTATGGCACCTCCCCCAGTGTGGCCCACTATGGCACCTCCCCCAGTGTGACCCACTATGGCACCTCCCTCAGTGATGCCTACTATGGCACCTCCCCCAGTGAGGCCCACTATGGCACCTCCCTCAGTGATGCCCACTATGGCACCTCCCCCACTGTGGCCCACTATGGCACCTCCCTCAGTGATGCCTACTATGGCACCTCCCCCAGTGAGGCCCACTATGGCACCTCCCTCAGTGATGCCCACTATGGCACCTCCCCCACTGTGGCCCACTATGGCACCTCCCCAATGTAGCCCACTATGGCACCTCCCCCAGTGTGGCCCACTATGGCACCTCCCCCAGTGTGGCCCACTATGGCACCTCCCCCAGTGTGACCCACTATGGCACCTCCCCCAGTGTGACCCACTAGGGCACCTCCCTCAGTGTGAACCACTATGGCACCTCCCCCAGTGTGACCCACTATGGCACCTTCCTCAGTGTGACCCCACTATGGCACCTCTCCGAGTGTGAACCACTATGGCACCTCCCCCAGTGTGACCAACAATGGCACCTCACCCAGTGTGACCCACTATGGCACCTCCCCCAGTGTGACCCACTATGGCACCTCCCACATTGTGACCCACTATGGCACCTCCCTCAGTGTGACTCACTATGGCACCTCCCCCAGTGTGACCAACTATGGCCCCTCCCCCAGTGTGGTTCAATATGGCACCTCCCCCAGTGTGACCCACTATGGCACCTCCCCCAATGTAACCCACTATGGCACCTCCCCCAATGTGACCCACTATGGCACCTCCCCCAATGTAACCCACTATGGCACCTCCCCCAATGTGACCCACTATAGCCGGGGGAGCCAGTCGGCCGAGCGGACAGCACACTGGACTTGTGATCCTGTGGTCCCGGGTTCGATCCCGGGCGCCGGCGAGAAACAATGGGCAGAGTTTCTTTCACCCAATGCCCCGGTTACCTAGCAGTAAAATAGGTACCTGGGTGTTAGTCAGCTGTCATGGGCTGCTTCCTGGGGGTGGAGGCCTGGTCGAGGACCGGGCCGCGAGGACACTAAAGCCCCGAAATCGTCTCATGATAACCTCAAGATAGATGGCACCTCCCCCAGTGTGTCCAACTATGTCACCTCCCCCAGTGTGACCCACTATGGCACTTCCCCCAGTGTGACCAACTATGGCACCTCCCACAGTGTGACCAACTATGGCACCTCCCACAGTGTGACCCACTATGGCACCTCCCCCAGTGTGACCAACTATGGCACCTCCCCCAGTGTAGCCCACTATGGCACCTCCCCCAGTGTGGCCCACTATGGCACCTCCCCCAGTGTGGCCCACTATGGCACCTCCCCCAGTGTGACCCACTATGGCACCTCCCCCAGTGTGACCAACTATGTCACCTCCCCCAGTGTGACCCACTATGGCACCTCCCCCAGTGTGACAAACTATGGCACCTCCCACAGTGTGACCCACTATGGCACCTCCCCCAGTGTGACCAACTATGGCACCTCCCTCAGTGTAACCCACTATGGCACCTCCCCCAGTGTGACCAACTATGGCACCTCCCCCAGTGTGACTCACTATGGCACCTCTCCCAGTGTGACTCACTATGGCACCTCCCCCAGTGTGACCCACTATGGCACCTCCCCCAGTGTGACCAACTATGGCACCTCCCCCAGTGTAACCCACTATGGCACCTCCCTCAGTGTGACTCACTATGGCACCTCCCCAGTGTGACCCACTATGGCACCTCCCCAAGTGTGACCAACTATGGCACCTCCTCCAGTGTGACCCACTATGGCACCTCCCACAGTAAGACCCACTATGGCACCTTCCCCAGTGTGACCCACTATGGCACCTCCCCCAGTGTGACCCACTATGTCACCTCCCCCAGTGTGACCAACTATGGCACCTCCCCCAGTGTGACCCACTATGGCACCTCCCTCAGTGTGATTCACTATGACACCTCAAGTGTGACTCACTATGGCACCTCCCCCAGTGTGACCCACTATGGCACCTCCCTCAGTGTGATTCACTATGACACCTCAAATGTGACTCACTATGGCACCTCCCCCAGTGTGACCCACTATGGCACCTCCCTCAGTGTGATTCACTATGACACCTCAAGTGTGACTCACTATGGCACCTCCCCCAGTGTGACCCACTATGGCACCTCCCTCAGTGTGATTCACTATGACACCTCAAGTGTGACTCACTATGGCACCTCCCCCAGTGTGACCCACTGTGGCACCTCCCCCAGTGTGACCCACTATTACACCTCCCCCAGTGTGACCCACTATGGCACCTCCCACAGTGTGACCCACTATGGCACCTCCCCCAGTGTGACCCATTATGGCACCTCGTCCAGTGTGACCCACTATGGCACCTCCCACAGTGTGACTCACTATGGCACCTCTCACAGTGTGATCCACTATGGCACCTCCCCCAGTGTGACCCCACTATGGCACCTCCCACAGTGTGACCCACTATGGCACCTCCCCCAGTGTGACCCCACTATGGCACCTCTCACAGTGTGACCCACTATGGCACCTCCCCCAGTGTGACCCCACTATGGCACCTCCCCCCCCGTGTGGCACCGCCCTGTGCCAAGCCACGTTCCCCTTCTCTCTCTCTCTTAAAGCAATATTCTAACGATTTCCAATTCAATTAATTTCGCGCTTCGATGACTAATTCGGAGCCAACGAGCTGCTTTTCAGCGCTGCCATCAGCTGAGTGGGATGCGTTATTGGGTGTGTCACTCACAGTGTCATGCAGATCTCAGTGTGTATCACAGGACGTCAAGCACATCTCTCTCTATCTAACAACGTTAAGCTGATCTCACACTATCAGTAATATTCATATTTTCCATCATTTAGTCATCAATATCTTGCAGATATCTCTCTTTAACAAACAGCACTGAACTACCTCATAGAAGCCTTTCCTTCTGTATATATTACATCTGAATAATAGGATCTGGAACGGAAATATTCCGCACCAAAAGGTTCCGCTTCCTTTATGATGAATATTAACTAGAGAACAAAACATGTGCACTATTGACACCCTTGATATTGATGTATTTATGGCCCCAGTTGATGGACAACTGTCACTCACGTCATGTTATAAGTCATTATTCTGTGTTTGTATTTAGTGTATTGATGGTATATTATCACAGTGATAGATCATCAGAGTCCTAGACGTTTTCTGAGATGCCCTGAGTAGGGTGAGACTCCCAGTTGTGCCCTGGGAGCCCTGAGTAAGGTGAGACTCCCAGTTGTGCCCTGGGAGCCCTGAGTAAGGTGAGACTCCCAGTTGTGCCCTGGGAGCCCTGAGAAAGGTCAAACTCCCAGTTGTGGCATGGGAGCCCTGAGTAGGGTGAGACTCCCAGTTGTGGCATGGGAGCCCTGAGTAGGGTGAGACTCCCAGTTGTGCCCTGGGAGCCCTGAGTAAGGTCAGACTCCCAGTTGTGCCCTGGGAGCCCTGAGTAAGGTGAGACTCCCAGTTGTGCCCTGGGAGCCCTGAGAAAGGTGAGACTCCCAGTTGTGCCCTGGGAGCCCTGAGAAAGGTGAGACTCCCAGTTGTGCCCTGGGAGCCCTGAGTAAGGTGAGACTCCCAGTTGTGCCCTGGGAGCCCTGAGTAAGGTCAGACTCCCAGTTGTGCCCTGGGAGCCCTGAGTAAGGTCATACTCCCAGTTGTGCCCTGGGAGCCCTGAGTAAGGTCATACTCCCAGTTGTGCCCTGGGCGCCCTGAGTAAGGTCATACTCCCAGTTGTGCCCTGGGAGCCCTGAGTAAGGTCAGACTCCCAGTTGTGCCCTGGGAGCCCTGAGTAAGGTCAGACTCCCAGTTGTGCCCTGGGAGCCCTGAGTAAGGTCATACTCCCAGTTGTGCCCTGGGAGCCCTGAGTAAGGTCATACTCCCAGTTGTGCCCTGGGCGCCCTGAGTAAGGTCAGACTCCCAGTTGTGCCCTGGGAGTCACAGTGAGATCCTTTTAATTATTAGTACTGTTTAAAGGGACAGAATAGCGAAGGACAGTTGGGATATCTCGCTAAGAAGAGATAAGAGTCGTAAAGCTGAGAGGAACAACAGTGTGATAGTTGTGCTGGCACTTGTTGAGTTAAAACGTGTTTAGGTCTTGGCGCCATGGGTTGGAGGGGTCCGCTCCCCCGACGGCCCGCTCCCCCCAATACGCACAGCAACAGGTGGTAATTAACGGATAACTGAAATATTTTGGGGAAATGGACGGGGTAAAACTTATTAATGTATCCCGGAGGATACACCAAATGTCAGAGCGAGTCGGTCTATGATGGCTGGCATGTTGTTGATGCTCGGAGTTGTTTGTGTATTTAATATTTGTGCGGAGTTTTTTCTTTTTTTTTAGCTCTTGAATTCGGTCATTCTACCCAATATATTTTCCTCTATTATATCTACTACATATATTTCTCTCTAACACACGCGCAACCCCCCCCCCCCCCCCCAGGAAGCAGCCCGTAGCAGCTGTCCAACTCCCAGGTGCCTATTTACTGCTAGGTGAACAGGGGCATCAGGGTAAAAAAATCTGCCCATTTGTTTCTGCCTCTGCCGGGAATTGAACCCAGGCCTTTATGACTAAGAGCCCCAAGAGCTATCCACTCAGCCGTAATGCCCTCGCTCCTTCCTTCTTGTGCTCACTCCTTCCTTCTGACCCTCGTTCCTTCCTTCTTGACCTCGCACCTTCCTTCTGGCCATCTCTCCTTCCTTCTTGCCTTCGTTCCTTCTTCTTGCCCTCGCTCCTTCTTTGAAATCGCTCCTTCCTTCTTGAAATCGCTCCTTCCTTCTTGAAATTGAAATCTCTCCTTCCTTCTTGAAATCGCTCCTTCCTTCTTGAAATCGCTCCTTCCTTCCTTCTTGGCATTGCTCCTTCCTTCTTGCCCTTGCTCCTTCCTTTTTGCCCACGCTTCTTCCTTCTTGCAACCGCTCCTTCCTTCTTGCCATAGCTCCTTCCTTAGATAGCTGCCAAGTGAAAAAGCAGGACCGGTAACGACCAACATAGAGAGGTTATGTTGGTGAGTCGTGCGACACCTCCAGTAGACGCCCAGTCTCTAGAGAGGGAGAGAGAGAAAAGCCAGGATTGTTTGCACCTTACACTTCGAGAGGGTATGTACCGAGTGATCAGCCAGGCAGGTCTGTAGGGATTCTTAGGGATAGTGGAGCTGCCCAGTCTCTGATTTTGAGAAACTCGTTACCCGAGGAAGTGCTTACTGGTGGGAAACAAAGGATTATTTAGGATGGGCTCTCTCGACGTGGTACGTTGCTCCCCTTAGAAGAAGTACACTCGGAATCGCCATATTACAGTGGCAAGTGTACGTTGGCAATAGTGGATCCTCTTCTAATAGAGGTCAAACTGGCCAACAACTTGGCGACGGGTTTGGACAGTAACCGTCCCATGGTTGGGGACGATCCGGTTGGAGAAGTGGTAAGACCTGTAGTAGCAGCACAATCCAGATCCCAGGTACAGACGATGTTGAAATCAAATAACTTGTTTAACCCTACATCTACAACACAGGTTGTTGAGAGTATTCCAGCGAGCTCTCTCGACTCTGCCCCCGAACAGAAACATTGGACTAGAGCAACATGGATAACTGAGCAAGAAAAGGAACCACAAGTGCAAGCACCCACAGATAGCCTAAACTCTGGCGCGATGGCAGGTAACCTGTACTTGGGGAATGATGTGATGCAGTGCTCACAGAACCAACCAAGAACTACCTAGACTTCAGAGGAATGTGCACAGGTTGTAGTGCCCTCGATGTTCCGAACCAGGTGGATGGAAACAGCCCATTATGGACATTGCAGGATTGTGAAAGTTATTCATCGGTTAGCCAAATGGTTCTTATGTGTATTTTGTATTTTCCTTGTGTTTGCAATGGAAGAAGTGACCAAGGACCAGTGGACGGTCAAGCAGATGATAGCACACGTAAGCATGGTGGAACGGTATCAGGGAAAGGACTTTCGCCCCGTGATAATTGTCGTGGAAGGAGGAAGAGATCAAGAAGTGATTGAGGATGTTGGTAGTAAAAGAAATGGTTTTATTGAGTAATAGCTCGACAGGTTGATGTCCCCTCATGTAACTAGTAGGTCTAGTGCCAAAATTATAAAGAGTGGTGGCAGCCCTGAAGTTAAAGGAGTGAAAGCACTCTTCATTAGCGTATAGACAGGTACTGTAGGAACACGTGTGAGTCTAGTCTTTGGTCGAGACACTGGTATGCATCTCCAGGCTGTACATGGTAGCCAAAATCGTCAATTTCCTGTATTTCAGATTCCTGTCTCCTTGAGGGACCGCTAGATCGGTACAGGAAACACCATCTGTATACAGCCACCAGCGGTACCACGGCTCAGGGAGGTATAGCCAGTTCGCTCCAGTTTTTCGATCTTCCTCAGAGTATCGGTGTTTACATAAACCATGGTGTACAATGTGGCCACGCTACGGACAAGCATGTCAGTTAAATCATTGCCCGTCTTCTTGGTGTTCACTTTCGTCAAGACATCTCTATTAATACAGTTTCTAGAGCAGGACTTTCTTCTAACATTAGCTATCTATCTGCATAAGTCTGATTGGTTTTATACAAACATACTAATTCGGTTTATTTTCCGTTTAGAAGCCAAACCAAATTCTTTTTGGTTGGGAGGTGTTACAGCATCAGCCCCATCGCTGGAGTGTGGATTGGCGATTTCGGTGCCATCTAGGGGACCCTGCACTCCAACTCTCAGGTATTAGAGGAAATGCAAACAACGCCATCTGTTGGCAGTGGTGTGGCGTCGGTGGAAGGCTCCTGTTTCATACATCAGTTAGAGTGTGAGGTCGATGATGATGACCTCTGGCTGGTGGCGTAACGATATCAACGTCATCTAGGTTGTGCAAGCAATTATAATTTCAATTTCCCGGTGGAAGGGTGTTATCCTAAGGTCACCCAGTATACTGTCTGTCTAGCTAATGACGTTTTATGTTCACAGAGGTGACGTAAGGAGGCGATTGCGCTGAGGAGGGCAGTTCAGAACTCTTGACTTGGTCCTGTGAGAGGACAAAGTGGCCGCTGTCGGTAATAGCAGTGTGTTAGCTGCTGGATTTATAAGTGTTGTATGGACTGACGTACTTGGGATTTGGCCAAGAAGAGTTGTTACAAGGTGACAGTAGTGCGTCTGTTGAGAAGTGCTACTAGTGTGTAACTAGAGACTTCTGCCAGCATGTTAGCTACCCCATATACGTGATTATTTGAGACCCCATGTCAGCGCGTTGCTGAAACCCTCTGTCAGCGTGTTTCTGGGGCGTGGAGGTGGGGGTATTAAGACATCATGACGACAAGGTGTGTGGACTGACCCTTGTTGAGGAAGGTGAACTCGCCGGTGATTGCCACTAAGTGTGGACGACATGTACCTGGACGTATATGCCAAGATAGTGGACTCACCGGGATTTGATGAATACTACCAATCTATTGAGTGTCCTGAGTGAAAGCGACACAGTGTAAATATCTGTAGTAATACTTAGAGATATATATATTGGTGAAGGTGATAATTTATTAGTGAAGGTGATAATAGATTGGTGAAGGTGTAATTACGTATTGTTTATCCCCTTATATTCTTTGCACTACTACTTGCCATAGCTGGTTCTTGAAAACTTACCATCGACTTTGGGTAAGATCAAGAAGAGGAGGTTATAAGACGCGTTAACAGTAAGAACTTGGTTACTGGCCCAGGCTGGCCGTAACACCCTCGCTCCTTCCTTTTTTGCCATAGCTTCTTCCTTCTTGCCCCGTTTCTTCCTTCTTGGCCCCCGCTTCTTCCTTCTTGCCCCCGCTTCTTCCTTCATGCCCCCGCTTCTTCCTTCTTGGCCCCCGCTTCTTCCTTCTTGCCCCCGCTTCTTCCTTCTTGCCCCCGCTTCTTCCTTTTTGCCGCCGCTCCTTCCTTCTTGCCCCAGCTTCTTCCTTCTTGCCGCCGCTCCTTCCTTCTTGCCGCCGCTCCTTCCTTCTAGCCCTTACTCCCATCATTCTTGCCCTCACTCCTTCCCTCTGTCCTTCTTGCCCTCACTCCTTCCAGCTTGCCCTCGCTCACTCCCTGCTTTTTTTTCTTTTCCCCTGCTCCTTCTCACCATCACGCTTCTACTTGAATCCCTCCAATTTCCGTCATCCGCTCCTTCTTCCCTCCGTCCCTCAATTTTTCGCCGTTCCCTTCATATTACCCTCCCTCTGCTTCCTCCCTCACTAAGCCCCTCCCTCCCTAGCCCTTCCCTCACTAGCCCCTCCCTCCCTAGCCCCTCCCTCACCTACTGCTCCTGAAGGGAGGCAAAAATGTTCGGCGCCTTCAAGAGAGCGCTCACTTTTGTGCCCCGGGTTCCTGCCAATCGGAGATGGCAAAAAAAAAATAGTCTGTGTAGAACTTTCACCCCCCCCCCCCAGGTCACGTTGCAGCCTCCCTCCCCAGCTCCTCTCCTGTGCTGGGTGGCTGGTGTGCTCCCCGGGCCCTGGCCAGCACACATGTTGACACTTTGGAGGTTACTCCAGTTATGTTTTAATGTTTACTTTTTCGAGAGCCTCGTCGCAATAGGCGTAACGTCGGCTCCAGATCTGACCGACGTGTTGTAAAGGGCAAGTGCTGGAGGTTGGAACTGGCCACGAGGCAGGTGCAGTGGCAGCCATGACCTGGCCTCGGGCACCCTTGTTGCAGTCCTGCCTCTCTCCTCACTACACCCTCTCGTAGCCACGGCTCCGTACCCTCACCTCTCATACAATCAGCAAGGTCTTCCTCAGGGCCACACACCACGTACCTCAGGACCACACACACCATGTACCTCAGGGCCACACACAGCACGTACCTCAGGACAACATGCAGCACGTACCTCAAAGCCACACACACCACGTACTTCAGGGCCAAACACAGCACGTACCTCAGGGCCACACACAGCACGTACCTCAGGACCACACACACCACGTACCTCAGGGCCACACACAGCACCTACCTCAGGGCACCACACAGCACGGACCTCAGGGCACGACACAGCACGTACCTCAGAGCCACACACAGCACGTACCTCAGGGCCACACGCACCATGTAACTCAGGGCCTCACACAGCACGTACCTCTGGACCCCACACAGCACGTACCTCAGGGCCTCACACACACACAGCACGTACCTCAGGGCCCCACACAGCACGTACCTCAGGGCCCCCACACAGCACGTACCTCAGGGCCACACACATATACACACAGCACGTACCTCAGGGCCACACACATATACACAGCACGTACCTCAGGGCCACACACATATACACACAGCACGTACCTCAGGGCCCCACACAGCACGTACCTCAGGGCCACACACAGCACGTACCTCAGGGCCTCACACACACACAGCACGTACCTCAGGGCCCCACACAGCACGTACCTCAGGGCCACACACAGCACGTACCTCAGGGACCACACACAGCACGTACCTCAGGGCCACACACATCACATACCTCAGGGCCACACACATCACATACCTCAGGGCCACACACAGCACGTACCTCAGGGCCACACACAGCACGTACCTCAGGGCCACACACAGCACGTACCTCAGGGCCACACACACAGCACGTACCTCAGGGCCACACACACAGCACGTACCTCAGGGCCACACGCCGCACGTACCTCAGGGCCTCACACACCACGTACCTCAGGACCACACACAGCACGTACCTCAGGGCCACTTACAGCACGTACCTCAGGGCCACTTACAGCACGTACCTCAGGACCACACACAGCACGTACCTCAGGGCCACTTACAGCACGTACCTCAGGACCGCACACAACACGTACCTCAAGGCAACACGTAGCACGTATCTCAGGGCCACACACAGAACGTACATCAGGGCCACACACAGCACGTACCTCAAGGCCACACGAGCACGTACCTCCGGGAAACACGCAGCACGTACCTCACAGCCACACAAAGCACGTACCTCAGCGTCACACACAGCACATTCCTCAGGGGACATACACAGCACGTACCTCAGGGTCACACACACCACGTACCTTAGGGCCTCACACCACACGTACTTCAGGGCCACACACAGCACGTACCTCAGGGACCACACACAGCACGTACCTCAGGGCCACACACAGCACGTACCTCAGGGTCACACACACCACGTACCTTAGGGCCTCACACCACACGTACTTCAGGGCCAAACACAGCACGTACCTCAGGGCCACACACACCACGTACCTCAAGGCAACACGTAGCACGTATCTCAGGGCCACACACAGAACGTACATCAGGGCCACACACAGCACATACATCAGGGCCACACACAGCACGTACCTCAGGGCCCACAGGCAGCACGTTCCTCAGGGCCACTCACACCACGTTCCTCAGATCCACACACACAGCACGTACCTCAGGGCCACACACAACACGTACCTCAGGGCCGCACACACAGCACGTACCTCAGGGCAACACACACAGTACGTACCTTAGGGCCACACAGGACGTACCTCAGGGCCACACACAGCATGTACCTCAGGGCCACACACACAGCACGTACCTCAGGGCCACACACACACAGCGCGTACCTCAGGACCACATGCAGCACGTACTTCAGGGCCACACACAGCACGTACCTCAGGGCCACACGCAGCACGTACCTCAGGGTCACACGCCGCACGTACCTCAGGGACCAAACACAGCACGTACCTCAGGGCCACACACACAGCACGTACCTCAGGGCCACACACACAGCACGTACCTCAGGGCCACAACACACAGCACATACCTCAGGGCCACACACTCAGCACGTACCTCAGGGCCACACACACAGCACGTACCTCAGGGCCACACACACCGAACATACCTCAGGGCCACACACACAGCACGACCCTCAGGGCCACACACACCGAACATACCTCAGGGCCACACACACAGCACGTACCTCAGGGCCACACACACCGAACGTACCTCAGGGCCACACACACCGAACGTACCTCAGGGCCACACACACCGAACGTACCTCAGGGCCACACACACCGAACGTACTTCAGGGCCACACACACCGAACGTACCTCAGGG